TGTGTTCTTAACTTGGGAAACCCTTATTGTTGAGTCCTTCGAACATAAATAAAGACGTCGAATCGAGTTCACTTAACAGTATGTTGACCTTAAAAACTCACAATAACAGATTTCATTGTTTTTCTTTAGCTTGCATGATACGTACTGCGAATTTTGTAGTTTTGTAATTGGCTTTAACAATTTATTTAACATAAATCGGTTTTGTTTGTTTCTTTTTAGAAACTTTGTCCGCACACTAGGATTTTTGTAAGTAGATCGTGGAAGCAGTTTAGAGACAATTTTTTTTATAGTATAAGGGTGACAAACGAGCACACAGTCCACCTGAAGGTAAGTGGATGCTGTGGCCCATAGACATCTACATTTATCCTCGATTAATAATCAAACTGCAGATGCGTTGTTACCCCTAAGGACTAAGATGCAGTGCCTCATTTCCAGTAAAAACGATTTCCGGTTCACCATACAAAACAGCAGCATTAAGCTGCTATTTTACGCTGGTATTCTGTGAGAGCGTGATCCCACCTCGGTCCATAATGAAGCTCCAGCATGGCTTTACCAAAAGTTGCACAAGGACAAACATCCAGACCCGGAACAATTATTTGTAGTCGATAACACTTGTTACGTCGCATGCGGAATACGAACCCGTGGATTTAAACCCCTCAGCGCCACAACTCAATGCTAAACCACTGACTGCACCCCTGAGCCGTCTATCGTAAAATTAAATTTTTGTTGAAGAAAATTCAAGTGATGGTGTGGAGGATTCTCACCATATTTCATCGCGTGGTTGTCGTAAGAAGCGACTATGGAAAATGACAGAATCTTATGGCTGTGATAAATGCTGTTACAAATATTAGTTTACGTAAGACGTAAAATATATACCGACGACGGGTAGCAGCGTTAAAGGTGTGAGTATAGTCTATTCGGTTAGATACGGTCGCCTTTGTGTCGTACCGCCTTGGCACGTACCGCATCTTGTCAAAGGCGCCGCGCTGCAACAACATCAAATGCGTACACCCGCAAGAAAAATTTGGAATTTAAAATTAAGTTGTGTGAAAACGAAGTTTTAAATTCCAAATTTCGTTTTAATTAAATTAATTTCGTTTTATTACAATAACAATAAAAATAAAATAGTATTCTATTTTATTCTTAGAATAGAAAAACATTTTAACAAACACGGTAAAAATCTAAACTAATCTAATAAAGCAGCAAAGTTTTTTGTTTATTTTTTGTTTAAACATGCTTATCATAGGAACTATCAGTCCGATTTGAAATTATTTTTGTATATTATAACTAGATTCATGAGGAATAGTATAGGTTATTTAGAATTAAGTTCCACCTGTCAGCTAGCCTTAAATATTGATTTTTGTTAAGCAAGTCAGAAGAAAAAGTGCTCCCGAAATAATTTATCCGCGTGTGCTGGCGTGATGGTTAGTGAAACGTAAATACAATGTTATACAAAAATATAGACCTTTACTCCATCTAAAAAACCCGCGATACCATATTATGCCTATTTCCAATATATAAGAGACAATAAGGTATTTTGTGACAAAAATATTGAAAATTTTAAAACTAATTTATAAGCGTTATTATTAGGCATTGAACGCACATTTGTCAATACCGTACGCGCCGTACGCGCCGCATTTTAGAATTCGCTGTATGAAATCATATGATACCTCGCACGTTACACCGACACCGTGTTCCAAGTCTGTAATTTTCTATATTAATTAAAAAATAAATATTTAATCCATCTTATGCTTTATAATATTATTAAATTCATTAAGCGTATTGGTAATTGGTATCGGTTATCGTCGATATTTTTATTAGAGTATCAGTAAAAAAGCGTATCGATGCATCCCTAGTTTTACTTACTAATTCCGGTAGAGTAAAGTGGCTACTGTAGCTAATGGACGCCTGTAACTAACATTAAGCAAAAGAAAACACAGATTTGTTACTCATTTTAAAAATATATAATATATATATATATATATATATATATATATATACCAGCGTAAAAATAGCAGCTTAACGCTGCTGTGATTCGTGTGGTGAGTGTAGAGAACCGGAGACCCTTTTTACTGGAAACGAGGCAATCCATACTAGTCCTCACGGGCGACAAAGCATCTGTATTTTGATTCGTAATCTAGGATAGATGTAGATGTCTATGGGCCACAGCAACCCCTTAAAAAAATATCACCGTGGTCGCTGAGTAGTAGCGGCGTAAGTGTATCCACTACTCCATATCATTCCGTGGATGTCATAAAGGGCGATTAAGGAACATGAAACAGGAGATGGACAGTAGCATGTTCCTGATAACAACTTAATAAAAACCTGCGGCTTGCCAAGCGTGGAAACTATGACAAGTGATGCAATTTGACGGCTCCGTGGCTTAGCAATGAGTTGCTGCGCTGGGGGCCGCGGGATCGTATCCCGGACGGAACAAGTATTTTGTATGGCCTACAAATAATTGTTCCGGGTCTGGATGTTTGTCCTTGTGCAATTTGTGTTTGTAAACTGCCTCTGCAATACAGGAGAAAATCCTAGTGTGGACCTCCACACTAGGATTTTCTCCTGAACGTTTTTTTTTTAAAAAATAAAAAAAATTATGGGAGAGGCCTATGTTCGATCACTGGACTTTTTTGACGGGCTGTGATGTACGAGTGAAAGCTGAAAATGCCTGGATTTATTGTCCCCAGAATTGATGTTATTTAACATGTTTAATAGAAGTGTTTAATAGATATTATATTAAAGACATTTAAAGTTAATTAGCTAAGATTAGATTTATTAATTATCTAATTAATTTTAAACATCTTTAAGCTATCTAAGTTCATTAAAGTCAATCTTCGACCTTATAAGCAGACTGATAAAACTCTTTAATTTTATATTATATACTTTCGGAAATTCCGGATTAATAGAATGTTGTTTAAGTTGTGAGGTGATGAGAACATCATCGAAAGCATTTTATTATTTTTCTTTATATTGGACTGACAAACGAGACTGTAGACTGCAGTTTACTTTTTTATTGAATAACATTAATAAACGAGCATACAGTCCACCTGATGGTAAGCTTACAGTATATACAGTACATAAAGAATCAAAATGCAGTTGCGTTGTCACCCCTGAGGAATAAGATGAAATGCCTAGTTTCCAAGAAAGAGGCTCTCCGGTTCTCTACGCTCACCATACGCAACACAGCAGCATTAAAATGCTATTTAACGATAGTATTCTGTGAGAGCGTGCTTCTTCCCCGGTCGAGTTGACCCATTCGTGATACAACCATAATATAGTTTTACGACTACAGTATTCCTTTTGGTAGGCTGTAGTGGTAAAATCATTTTTTTAAATTTTCGTCTGTCTATCCCTCTAGGACAGACAGACAGGCGAAAATTTAATTTGTAATAAAATTGTAAACTTCGTTCTTTTTGAAGTCGGTTGAACATCTGATATTGTAAAAAATGGTTTTAAATGATTACCATTTTCTTCCTCGCACAAATTCCTTGTGGAATAGTTTACCACCAGTGATTTTTCCGGACCGATACGACTTAGGGACCTTCAAGAAAAGAGCCTACTCCTTTTTAAAAGGCCGGCAACGCATCTGCAATTCCCCTGGTGTTGCGGTTGTTCATGTGCGGCGGTAGTCACTTACCATCAGGTGAGCCGCATGCTCGTTTGTCCCCTCTCCTATAAAAAAAAATACCAGTCAAAATTTTTTGTCTGCAGTCTTACACAAAAAGGCCCACTTTTTCTTTTATCTTACAAAGTTTTAATGCAAAATTGATATGTAACATTTTCCTTCAATATCGACATCTATCGACTTCAAACAGGACTAGGTACTCAATTCGACGGTGTTTTTATTAAAATATGTGTTACCTCATAACTTTTTTCTGGGTGGACCGATTTCGATGATTCTTTTTTTATTTGAACGCTGGTGCTTCACATGTAGTCCCATATAAATTTGATGAAGCTCTGACCAATTATTCTTGAGTTATTCTTAATAATTGGAACGAAGTTCCTTATCGGACGGTACGGGTTTGGCGGATGGGAGCTAGGCGACAAAAATTGTAAGATTTTTTCGTCACTACCCCCTACGCTATAGTGTAAACGGCCTTGGCGGCGAAATGAGGAAGTGAGATGAAATAATATCCATCTCCTCGCACTTTTTCTTATCTTGCCATGAAAGAAATATTTTTTTATTTCAAATGACGCTTCATTTTAATAGACGCTTGTAATTCATTTATTTGTGTTTGTTAATCAATAATATAATACCTACGTTTATCAATAATAATATACTACGAAAGCAACTTCGTTCCAACTGAGTGTTCCACGACACTCGCGCAATTTTTTATATTGAAGTCGGTTGTACAAAATTTTTTTTTATTTTAAATTATACTACAAAACTATTGGCCAAATACTCACCCGCTACTCAATTTTAAAATGTCGTTAAGTCTCGCGGTGTCACAGTCACTTTGACTTATACGAGATGTTGTTAAACTTGTTGAACTATGAATAGTAAATAGGCTTTTGTTAAGCTAATTCAGTACACTTTGTTATCATCATCTTCGGTTTTATCACAACTTACCATCATTTGGGGATAGTAGTTAAGCATTAGCTTTAAGTTAATAAATAAAAAAAAGATTAAAACTCAGCATCAAATAGGTATTAACTCTCATTTTATAAATAGTTCTTTTCTACACAATTACAATCCTTGCATAGGAAAATCACATAGAATGCAATTAATAGTCCGTTACCACCTTTTTATTTCAATTAAAATACTAATAAGAAAATTAACTTAAGTCGTAATTAGTGACGCAAGACATTATGTTTTTTTGTAGTTATAGACGAAAGTAAAAACAAGCCAGTTTTTGCAGGAATTTTTAATGTGCCTCAGTCAAACTTGTTATAATTGTTACTGGCAACAATTTTCTCTTATTTAAATAATGATCACAACCTTAATCATAAAATAATATAAAACATTAATTTAGAATATTCAGTTAACGTAACTTAGTCTAAAATATTGTAGGTTTCGAGTAAATGCCACCGAATATCACAGTCGTTGTGGTTTTTTCCATAACAAAGTATATGAAGGGTCGATTTGCTAAGAAATTTGGTGACGCGATTCTATCAGCTAAATAAGCCGATGTACTAGCTGATGCTACCGTTCCGGATTCCGTTACCTCTATATCGGCTTTATGTACAATGGCCGATACGAAGATCTCCTCTTTTGTGACTCGCCCGAAGCTCGCTAAGTTCGGCTCGAAAATGTCGTTAACACCCATATAACCAAGTGGTTTGTTCAGAACCACGTTTGTGCTAATACGGAAACGTGGCAGTCTGACGTCTATCTCTTCTAATCCGAATTCGTCCACATCCTTTTGGAGCTGATCGAAAATACCCTTTATGCTCACTATCTCGAACTTCTTGTACACATCAGCAACTTTAATCTTAGGATAAGGCAGTAGCACTAACATGGAATATTTTCCATCGTTCCCATAAGGCAGTTCTAACGCAAGCGCTTTCATATCTCTTATGTTCGAAAAAGGCACTGCTGCTTTTTGATACATCATGTTCACTTTTCCTATTCGTTTGTTGTTCTCGTCATAGAACGGCTCGACCGTTGTTTCTGTTGTGTTAAAAGGCAGTGCCCAAAGACCTTTAAACGAGATAGCGTTTGTTAAAATCATTCTCGATTCAGTAAAATCATCCGATCGTAAAACATTAGATACAGTTGCTCCGGACTTCTGTATGATATTATTAGCGGCTTCTGCGGCCTTGTCTGAGTCTTTAAAGTCCAAAGTTTGAATCGCCGCGCCAAAATCATCTTGTATTGTCCTCCTAAACTCTTCGTAGATCGTGAAACCGTGATCTAGGAACACGAAGTTCTTGCTCGTTAAACTCACAGACGGTGTGTGGCTGAGCACGGCCCGTGATAGATTCGTGTAGCCGTTGATTATAGTGTTCGGGTTTTTGGGAAGTACAAACGCCTTAGTCAACTGGTCGTAACTTTTGCCTGTCGCACCAAGGGCGACACCGGTCATAAGGGTCCAAACACCGAAAGGCGATATCACAACATGTCCACCGGTCTCTTGTGCGGTGTAATGCAAAAGTTCGATGCTAAAGTTTCTCGCGCGGCCACTAAACTCCGTTTTGCAATGGCATGTCGACGCGAAAAATAAAACTGTTAATACGCGATACATCGTGCGGCCGTCGTCGAACGTACTTCGACGTGAACTGGCCATATCCACAGATTACAGTAAACACAAACTGGCTGACATTAAACTTTGCTGAATCATTTGATTTACCGAAACGATGTACACCTTCGTTGTGCATTAATACGTGCTTGTTTTATTAAATTTTATGTTCTGTGCGTCACTGATAGTAAGGCAATTGGCGTTTTATATTTCTCGTAGATTTTATTTGTCATTAGATACAAACAAACCAGTTTTTTAAGTATTATGTGGTTTTAAATGATAGACTACGTCTACTGTAGACTGCAAAAACCGACCAAATTAAAACGTATTTATTTTTGATTTACAAAACCAGTTAATCAAGTACACGAGATACAACTCAACAAGATCTTGTGAGATTGCCTTTACGTATAAGAATTACTTGTTTCGAACCGTAAAGCTTTGTGTTTTTTTTTTAATTTTGTTTATAGGGTTCCGCTGCTTCACAAGGAACCAATAAACTTAAACATAAAATTGATTCTTCGGAATGATTTATATAAACATTTGGGAGTGTTTATTTAAACCTTTAAAGAGTTTTCTATATAAATCTCTATTTCAAGCCATGTAAATACTAACATATTTTAAAATGTTCATGTATACTTCGCAGTCTTACCAATTAGTTGGTCAAATGACACTTCATTTATTTAAAAATCATTTTTCAACTCTTCATAATGAATGGGTTATTGGAACGACGTTCCTTATCGCACGCTACGGGTTTGGCGGATGGGAGTTAGGCGACAAAAAATGTAAAATTTTTTCGTCACTACCCCTTGGGTCACAGTGTGCAAATTTTTTTTATTTCTATTATTTATTTGTTTGTATTTGTTAATCAATAATATAACACGTTTATCAATAATAATAAACTACGAAAGGAACTTTTATTTTAATTTTAAATGACGCTTCATTTTAATAGACGCTAGTAATTCATTTATTTGTATTTATTTTGTTAGTCAATAATATAATACGTTTCTCATTAATAATATATTACGAAAGGAACTTTGTTCCAACCGAGTGTTCCACGACACTCACGCATGTTTTTTTTAGTTGTCTTTTAAACCGATTGAGGATTCCTAAACAACGTCTCATCAAGCGTTCGTTCCGTGGGTGTTGTAAGAGGCGACCAGAGGCGACTATGGGATTTACCAAAAGGATTTTATGACGTCTGATAGTGTCGGTAGCTATTAATTATCTCGCTCACAACATGTAAGTATAAAATTACCCCGATCGGCGCGACGGCGACAGCCAGCGACGGTATTGTATTTTACTGCCGACTTCCAAAAAGGAGACGGTACTCAATTCGACTGTATGTTTTTTTATGTGTGTTAAAAAAAACTACCTCATAACTTTTTAGTGGGTCAACCGATTTCGATGATTCTTTTTTTATTTGAAAGCTGGTACTTCTCGTGTGGTTCCATATGAATTTGATCAATAGTTTTTGAGTTATTCTTAATAACTTATATATAAGTCGGCTGTACAAATTTTTTAATTTGATTATTTTATAGAATAAGGCTGACAAACACACTCCACCTGACGGTAAGCGAATGCTAAAGCGCATAGATATCTATCTACATTTATCCTCGATTAAGGATCAAAATGCAGATGCGTTGTCACTCCTGAAGATTAAGATGGCATGCCTCGATCCAGTGAAAAGGGACTCCGGATCTCTACACTAACCATACGTTACGCATACTTACCATACGCAGCACAAAGCTGCTACTTTACGCTCGTATTCTGTAAGAGCGTGGTCCTGGTTCCGCTTGACCCATTTTTGCTACAGCCATAATAAAACTGCAGCGTGGCTATACCACGTACCAAAAATGTGCGAAACGTCTGGTATTGCTACCGTTAATGCAAGATAAACCTGACGTTTAATGCAAATCCATTCTACAAAGGGAGAGGTTCATGTCCAGTTTTTGATTTTAATGGCTGATGAAGGAACAGCTTGAGATAATAAAGCTTTAGTTCAATTCAAATGCTTCGTACAATGGGAGAGAGAGGTCATGGAATTTTTCGAGCCGATAAGGAGAGATATAATTTTTTTATTGGTTATTAGTTGGAACCGAATTTCGAACTCGGAGTCTGTGCTGCAATAGCTAGGCGCTGTAACCACTAGCCTATATATCTAAAGGCATTATTTAAAAAAGAAATTATTGACATAAACATAAAACACTATAACAAACATTAGTGAAGGATTAATTATAATCAGATTTCTCACAGGGTTTTGCCCATGATGCATTTAAAATAAAGTTCGTGATCTTCGTCACGACTGACTTCGGTTATACTGAAAGGTCTGTGTTCATTAAGTAGGTACTAAGCTCGATGCCTTTATATTGCAGCGGTAAATCGACGTCGAAGCACTAGACTTCCTTAGCCTTTTAGGTTTTTTTTTGTTAACATGCTTATTAACACGACAACAAGTTTCACGTCGAGAATTAATATAAAAAAAGATATTTGTAATTTTTTTCAAAAATGAATTACATAATAATAATTTCAAAGTTCTTTTTAAGGTTTTATGTCATCTCAGAAACTCAGTCAAGAAATTAACTTAATTTTAAGTAAACGTTTACACTTTATCATCACTTAATAATAGATAAGCCCTTAATCTTGTCCAAGATCAAAGATTAATAGCACACTTTGTTGCAGTGAGATTTTCTACCGACTTCAAAAAGGAGACGGTACTCAATTCGACTGTATGTTTTCTATAATTAATAGAATCAGGCGTTACTTTGCGGAAATCCATTATATAAAGGCTTTTACAAAAATTTACTTCGCAAATATCCGCGTTATAAAATAAAATGATGTGTCTTACTCTTACCTAGTGTAGTAGGGAGGTGCTTCTTCATACTAGGTAAGACACATCATTTTATTTTATAACGCGGATATTGGCGGAGTAAATTTTTGTAAAAGCTTTTATGTATGTTTTCTTTTTATGTGTGTTACCTCATAACTTTTTTCTGGGTGAACCGATTTCGATGATTTTCTTTATTTCAAAGGTGGTGGTCAAATTTATATGGGACCACATAATCTATCCACTTCCCATGTGGTCCCATATAAATTTGATCAAGGTCTGACAACTTAATACTAATACTTTTATAATATGAAAATAAGTAAACCACTGTTATAAATATTACTGATAAGTCAATTAATTACAATTGTTTAGAAAATGAAATTACTTATATAATATTCTTTGCAAATCTCTCAAATTCCAAATTAAAAATAAACTGGGAAAACTATCAATGATAATTATTATGACAATACAATGACTTATAATCTATTTTACTCACTTACTTATCTTCACGCACAATCCCTGACGGGGTAGCCAGAGAGAACAGTTCGCCAATTGTCACGATCCTTACATACCTCTTTCGCTTCTTTCATTTCTATTTTGTATTTGTAATAAAAAATATAAAACAAAACGATAATAACACAATAATTATTTTAATGATTCATAATAGGAATTATTTAACAATCACTGATAACAATAGTTTAAAAGATCTAAGCGTACAGACGGCGGGAAGCGAGTTTGTTTTATTATGTAGAGAAGGGTAACAAAGTCCACTTTATTCAAGAACCATAAACACCTTGATTTATCCTAGAAATGCAGATCCGTTGCTACCCCTGACTGAGTACTAAGTTGAAATGTCTCGTTGCCATTAAAATTAATCTTCATATCTACGATTAGTATTAATAGAATTTTGTGAAAGTGTGGGTGTGGTCCTCTTCCGCTCAAGCCTACTTATTTCATGATTGCGCCAACCTTTGATAGATAATTTGCACCTATGACGTCACGACTTCAGACTGTGAGGCATTCCATGTTCTTCCTCTGAGGCAACAACGCATCTGTAGCATTCTTGAAGTGTTTGGTAGGAACTTGACCGGCGATGGATTGCTGTTCCTGTAATTATTGTTTAAATAATGGTTTGAAGTGGATTTTGATATGTAAAAGTGGTGCGATTTTGTGTATTAAATATCTGCGCATGTGAACTATAAGTGGAAACGGTGAAACAAGTGCTCTGATGGTGATGTGATTCTCAAGATAAGGTGTCTCTCTGCTTCGGTGCCTTGAGATACCATCGCCAACTGACATCTGCCTGCTGGCTCAAGTTGCCGTCAAAATCTCCCAAGGGCTGCACAATGTGACGCATCAACATATTGTGAAGCAGTGTACTACGAAGGATAATTATATATTATAACTTCAGGTTCAGAAGGGCTAGAACCCAGAGCCGTAAAGCAAGTTATTAAAAAAATGTAGCATTCTTTGCTTGAAGTTGGCTGTGGACTGCAAGTTCGTTTGTCACTTTAATTTTATGAAAAAAAAAAAACTACATTACATAAGTTCTGGTCGATGGTAAAGTCCGTTTAAAATATACTTTTTTTTTGTTAATAAAACGTTACGCCCCCTCTAGAATTTTCTCCTGTATCGTGGAGGCAGTTTACAAAAATAAATTGCGTAAGGACAAATATTCAGATCCGGAACAATTATTTGTAGGCCATACAAATACTCGTTCTGTGCGGGATTCGAACCCGCGGCCCCAAGCGCTACAATATATTGCTGAGCCACTGCGCCACGGAGCCATAATTAAAAATAAATAAATTAAGAAATAATATCAAAGGCCTTGATTTAGAAAAGATAAATCAATGATCATAGCTGAATATATCTACTTAGATACTCTATCTCTAATGTTTGAACTATTAGCCATTTCATGTATCATCATTGAGTGCGTCATTGAACATCAATATAATATAATAATAGTCTGCAAATGACTATTAATGTGTTTTTAGTCGTTATCTGTTTAGTTTATTGGTTTATTGTATAGGTTAATGGCTAGTAAGTAATAATTAACTTCGGGTCAATCCAGCAATAATAGTCTTGTTGTTAAAATTCTGTCTTGTTTTCGTGTTTAATAATTTAAGTAAAAATGTTATCCGAAATAAAACGAATATTAAATAAAAACTAGATTTCTCCATCT